ATGAAGTCCTTGTGGAACAACTATGAAGAACCCTGGCCTAAATAAACTATTCATTGCTTGAGCACTACCCCTGCTATAGAGGGATAATATTCAGTTACGACAACATAATATATAGGTATATGATTCTGAATACATGAACATGATCCATTGATGCTAAATATTTATCCTCATCTGAGCCCTGTGTTTACAGGAAAGATGCCAGAATTCTGTGTTTCTAAAATCAGAAAATACCTAATCACTTGCCAGTTTTAAATAATGAATTTAGCTTGATTAGGACGTGGGAGCATAAGTGTGTGTGTGGGGGAACTAGATAGGTAGTTTTGTGGGAAAGGTAGCTGGCAGGGGTGGTCTAGCTGCATGAAAATACCTCGTGTTGACTGGGTTCACCCAACATACTTGGCTAAAACGTGGTTGGCTGAGTTACTGTCTACATCCAGCCAATTTAGTAAATGATGGTTAAGGAGATCATGGCTTAGCATATGGTGCAAACACAGCCACTGAGAAATCAATATCTCTACTGTCTTCTTTCTGTGTGTTTTAAGGTAATAATACTATTTAAAATTCCCCAATCATATTAGGTACCTTTAATTAATGTAATTAAAATGGGGAAATATTTGTCCTTGTATGTACGGAAGGTTTGGGAGGGAAGTGAGGAGTGCCAGTTGGTTCTCACAATAGTCAGAACCCCTGACAACACAGTCCCCAAATCTGGTTTTTGCAGCAACTAGAATGTCTCAAGAAGTACTGAATGTTGTGGCTGACCACAGATGGAATTTACAAACAGCAAAGCTTTTTCTTCTATAAGCATCCAGAATTCATGGGGAAAGCAAAACCAGAAAATATAATTACTGCTCTTTTCAGGGTCTTCCATTTGACCTTCTGAACAAACCAGGATAAGACAATACTGAAATTTTTGGTTCCTATGGAAACCTAAATTACAAGAGATATTTGGATTCCCTGGGGAGTTGAAAGTTTAAGCTGCAAAGGAAAGGGGAATACACTGAAAACCAAATGTGATTTATGGAAAGAAGCTGGGGGGGGGGGGGGGGGGGAAAAAATT